CCTTTACTGCTCTCATTTAACTTCATAACCACTTTACACCAGCCATAGAAAGTGATGTCACCATAAACAGTACCAATAACCTTGATGTTACATTTGAAAAGACAGCAATAAACTGTTTCCAGGCTTACACAAGTGGTGCAGTCTCCACCAGCAGTCAGGAAGCTTTTCTGTAGTGATTGCTAAAACTGAGGGATTTGAGGAAGACCCAGGGCACAGTCAGACCTCCTGCTCTCATTGCAGTCTGTTATACAGCCCCAGTACTCGTGGATATGCTCCAAGCAAGATATGAGGCCATTCTTTGCAGTGTTCACATCTTCAGATTGAACCCAGCCAGGGCCACAGGTCTTATCTGATATGAGGACGAGGACATCACTGTTTTTCCAGAGGAGGTTTTCATTTTGACCACTGTCATTAAGTCTTGGGTTGGAGAGGGAGGAGAGAGAAAGGGGGAAGTGTAGTTGTCAGGAGAAACTGAGTACTGAGATGGCAACTGGGCCCTGGACGTGGAGGGCAGCTCGAGGTGTTGTCTGATCTGCAGCTCGACCCCATAAAGTGCTTCAAGTGGGAGAAAGACAGACAAAGAACATCCACCCGCCTGTCCATGTGCCGGGGAGTTGGTCTCAGCGTGATTCTGGGGATCTCGGGATTTTGCCCCTTGCTTTAGGTGCTGTTTTGCCAACAGCTGTGCGCAGCTGCTCCCTGCAGCCTGGCAAACGCATGTGCTGGAGAGTCCGTGTGTCCGTGTCGGTGTGTCCGCAATGGGGACGTGTATCTGCCTGTGGCCATCTAGTGGACACTCAGCTCTTGCTGCTCTGGGCTGGGACCGGCTTGGGTTCCATAAACCTCGCTCCTTGAAATGCCCCTGTTGGAATGCTTTATCAAAGGCAGGATGAGAGATTTGGTGAAGCAAAATTTCACCATTATCAAGCCTGGAATTTTCCTTTAATAGATGAGGAATTCTTGGGCATGAAAAATATTTTTTTTTTTATTAATAAGAAAAAAATCCAATATCAATTCTCTTGTCATCGAACCCTAGTTTGGAAAGTAGCTGCCAAGAAAATGAGTGTTACCAGTGGAAAATTTTAGGTGGAAACAAAACAGAAACGATACACAGGAACACCACAGATGTTTTAAAATATCCTTTTGCTAATTCAGATTTCTGAATTATGGCCAGCCTCAGGGAGATTTCTCTCTTTAGCAGACAATGTTTCAGGCACTGATTAGGTAAACAAACTAATATGATGAATGTGGATAACAAGGATGTGTCAAGTCTCGCATCCCCTTGCAAAATGAGAGATTTCTCCTCCTACAATTTGCTCTTCTGTATCATCAATAATCTGAATAAGTATCAGTTGTCATTTGTGATTCAGAGGAGGAAACTGTCGAGATTATCCTTGCCAGTCTTGACTCCAAAACTCCCATTCCAAAACCCTTGTAAACCTGTAGTCAAGTACAGAGTGCCTGAACTTTTATTGCTTTGGGCAGTGGGCACTGGAGGTGAGAATTAGGTGACGATTAAAGTTAGAAACATTTCCATTTATAAGGCTTTGCAATATTGCAAGGAAAACCTGTCCACTTTTCTCCATTGCCCATTTTTGGAGGATAGACTTCCTGGTACCAGGTTTCCAGGTTTCACAAAGGATGTTTCTGTGAAAATAAAGAAGTGTGAAACTTCTTGAGGTGTAACACATTGGTCCAAAAGACACTTCTGCACATCACATCAGGACAGCTTTGCAGAAACATGTGACACGCTTCAGTCTAAAATTAATCAGGAGGTTTCAGCACTGCCCCTGAGACGTGGAAGCAGAAACAATCTTTACACCATACTCTGGGCTGTGTAACCGGATGAAAACGAGTGAGAAGGAAGGTGCACGGTACAGAGCAATGTCAGTAAAGCATTTCACAAAGCTGAGCCAATCCACAGGGTGGGAAGGGGCAAGAGGAAATGTGGACAGGCCTAGACATTGTTTGAAGCAGATCAAATCTTACAGAGTCAGAGGAAGCTGTAGAGTAGATATCTCCAAGCAAGGACAGTAAGCAGCCAAAGAATACCAAAACCACAAGAGATGCATAAGGTGAGTAAAGTGTAAGGGTGAAACCCTCTCCCAGGAAAGTGAGGTGCCAATAATAAATAACTGAGTATTTGGATGTTGTGACTGATGTACCAACACAGGTGAAAATACCTCTGAATTACTAAAATCACCATGTAATTCAACTCAGAATCAAGGCATGTGAAAATTTTGGCAACACATTGATAAATTTGAAGAAATCACTGAGATCTTCTTGTAAATGGAAGCCCCACTAATGGAGCCATCTGAATGAGGACAAAATCATGGAAACAGGACACAAGGGTCAATCTTGCTGATCTGAAATGGCATGAGGGCTGCCAGTGCCATGCTGGAGCTCTTCACTCAATGTTCCTCAGAATGAGCTTGTGACAGAAATGCTTGACTGGGATCTGATCCCAGCAATACTCAGTACTGAGCACCATTGGTTTCACTTAATTTCATGCCTCAGATGAAGATATGGTTCCTGGTATTAAAGCAAGATGGTCAGTCTTCCTGATTTCTGTTCTGCTAAACATTCTGGGATTTCAAACTTTCAGTTTTTCCTAATCAAAACCAAGAGGAAATTCCCATCAAATGACAAAAAATTTGTTTTGGAAATCTCAGAATGATCTTATGGAGATGTTGATGTAATTTTGATTTTCTCATTTGGCTTTAAAGCATAGATTTTGCATGTCTTAGGCAGCTGAGATTAAAGTACAGCATTCAGAAGAAAGCTGTAGATAATTTTGATTATACTTCCACTGGCTGGACACAGTTTTTCTTGTGTGATTGAATCAGCATTTTTTGATTGAAGATTTTCTACCAGCTCTAGTCAAAATTGGGCTGCCAGCTGGCAAAGCTTCTGCTGCCTCCAGTATTTGTGTAACACTGCCATGAAAAAGGAGATGCTCCAGGGTAGCAGGTTTAGTGACAGTGGGCAGTGCTGGGGCAGGCTGAGACCCAGTCAGGGAAGAGGAAGGAGCATGAGGTACGTGGGAATATGATAGGGGCATCGAGGCAGGAAGGAAGAGAAAGGGAAAGTGGTAAAAGCATCAGTAAAGAGGCACCTGCAGCTCTGCACCCTGTCCTCTGGGAATGGGAGGATTGCATGACCTGGAGTGAGACCCTCTGCCAGCATCCTGCTGACTGCACAGCCAAGCAAACCCATTTTTCACACAGGCATGGAGGAGAAGGCAAAGAGAGGAAGCTCTGCATTCCTGAGGGTCTTTGCTTAGGCCCTGCAGGATTTACAACCACCGTGGTCCAGGGGTTACAGATTGGCAGTATGAAAGTGTAAATCAGACTGTTTATCATGCAGAGGAGGTGCCAAGTGGTGAAGCAGCCTCCTTCCTTTGCCTGGTAAAATCCTCTCTGACATGCACAGAGTGTCTTCTGCTGGGAGAAGCTGGGATCACAGGCAGTGGGGCCACCACCCCAGCCATTTCACAGAGCTGTCTGGGGGAGCAGGCTGGCTGTGCTCCTGGGAATGGCCAACATGGCTGTCATCAGTGCTAGCAAGTCACCCACCTTTATTGCCTTGCTACCTGAGACCAGGACATCACTCTGTGGCATCAGTCGTATGGTCCCCATGGCAGAGCTGGGGGACTGGCACAGACCCCCAGTACTCCCCACTTGAGCTCCCCCAGAGCTACGAGTAGTGGGGACAAGAGAGGGTTAAGCTGTCAGCTCTGTAATGTTAAACAGGTGTCAAAGGCACCTCCATATATCTGCAGATTGAAATCAAATTCTTTGCAGTATAAAAAGATAAATTACCCAGGCGATTCCCGCCTCATCCCACTCATCAGGCCAGCGCCAGACGGCAAGCAATTTTTTTTTTTAATGTGCTAACGACCTAATCAAGCAATCAAGTCGGAGAAGATTGCGGAGTGACCCCGAGCATCCATCTGCCATCGAGACCCCGACATTCATTTCCATTCTGCCGTGTACTTTCCGGGACAGGGAGGGAAAAAAATAGAAAAGAAAAAAAATCCTAAACAAATTAACACCCAATTTTCTGTGAGTCTAATTAGTTAAATGAGGAGGTGTTTGGGGTGTCCACGGGGAGGGAGGGACTGCCTCTCGGAGAGGGGCCTGGTAACTCCATGGCATTAATTAGCGCAGGTCAATGGCGTGGTTCCCTGGGGACCAGCTGCTTTAATTTCCCGTGATATTTCAGTGCCTGAGGCCCATCGATTCAAACTGAAATTAACTTATTTTTCAATCAGGCCTGGGCTGCCCCTGGGGCTGACTCTTCCTTTGCCTCCTTCTGAATAGACCTCAAGCAATTTTTCATCTAAAGCTGATGCCTCTGCTCGGGGGGAAGGGAGGGGAGCCGGGGAGGGAGGAGGGCGAGGGAGACAAGAGGAATGGAAATTGGAGAGAGAGCACTAATAGATTTCTGTGAGTATCACCCCCTCCCTGCCATTGCTGCCCGCCTCTCTGCTCACTGCCCCCCAGGTCACAGCTCAGAGATTATTCTGCCAATTTTCTGAGAAGATGAGGGGTTTTTCAAACTGGGAATTCAGGGCAAAGCGCACAGAGCAGCTTCCCCCTTCTTTCGAGCATCCGCCCCCATCCCAGCCCTCCCTGCAGGCACTGCTGCCTGCAGCCCTGTACCGCTGCTCAGACACACAGCAAATAATAAAAGAAAATCCCAGGCACGAGAGCCAAAAGCCACTAGAAAAAAGACGTTGCAATGGCAAATTAATTACATCCTGTTGAGAGGGATGGGACCTGCTTTCACACTTGGTCTTCACCACTCCCTTAAGGGAGGGAGGGAGAGATACCCAGTGTCTGTTGCATGGGGGAAGAGGTTGTATTGCCTTTGGGATAAACATCCACCCATATGCTTTCATCGTGCTGCAGAAGTGCATGCATGTTCCCCTGTGGGAAGGGGTCTGGCATGCCTTCTGCATGCACAAAAACCATGTCCCTCCTTGTCACCTGCTCCAGGTTTGGTTCCAGAACCGGCGGGCCAAATGGCGGAAGAGGGAGAAGTGCTGGGGCAGGAGTAGTGTGATGGCTGAGTACGGGCTCTACGGTGCCATGGTGCGTCACTCCATCCCGCTGCCTGAATCCATCCTCAAGTCTGCCAAGGATGGCATCATGGAGTCCTGTGCCCCTTGGCTCCTGGGTAAGAGAGCACCTAACTTCATGGGGGATGGCAAGTGGGTAAAGACAGGGGGATGCAAGAAAGAAATCAGAGTCATGTTGAAAATAGGTGAAGGGCAGCAGGGCAAGGTCCCACCATCCTGCCGCCCTCGATGTCTCCATCCATTAACAACCCTTGTCAATAGGGTTTGAGCACTCATGCCAAGTTCCTGCTGGACCTTGGATCGTGACCTGCAGAATCTGGCTGGCACACAAATTTGCCCACATGCTCAGGCTGGTGCTAACCTTCACTTCCCATAGCACAAGCATCCTTCATGCCCAGCTCTGGAGCAGGGGCTCCAATCCTTGCCCAAGGCAGGAGGCCATCCCAGTCTTATTCTTCTAGCCCTGTGTTGCTGGATGGGGTGCTAGGACTCCTAAAGGCTCCATCTTTGCCCAAGTTTCACTTTGTTTTCTGCGCAGACATGGAGCTAGCAGCTACCCTGTCACACTCCTGCTCTTTGCTTCCCTCTTTCTGACCTTCCAGGCTGGTTCTGACCCAAAACTAGTGTCTGGCATCTGGACAATGGGCTGTCCTGTCCTTCTGTCTGTGTGAATGGAGAGAGGCAGAAGGGTGGTTGTGGTTTGATATAGAAACAGAAACATCCCTCCTAATGAGGGATCTCCCTCTCCAGCCCCGGTGAAGCTCAGGCAATCATGCTGCTGAGACCCTCATCTCCATGGAGGAACAAGCTAGCTTCAGGTTCACAGAGAGAAATGAAGGGGAGTAAATATAGACCTTTGGGACCAGCCACCATCCACAGATGCTGGGCTGCCCCAGCAGGCAGCTGCCTTGCCTGGGCTGCCCTCGTGCGGGGGCCAGAGCGAGTGGCTCGCTGTGACTGCTGTGTGAAGTGAGGGTTTCTGCTTTTCCTTAATTCTGGCCTCTCTTTATCTTTGCTGTTTTCAGTTCAAGATGGCTTTCCCATGCCCAGGCGCTTTTCTAAACCCGAATACCAACAATTCTTTTTAGGGATGCACAAAAAGTCTCTGGAGGCAGCGGCTGAGGCGGGGAGGAAGACAGAGGTGGAGCGCCAGGCCCTGCCCAAGCTTGACAAAGGTGACAAAGAAGAAAGGGGTCCTGATCCCAAAACCACCATTTCCCAGGAGGAACTGAGAGAAAACAGCATTGCTGCCCTCAGGGCCAAAGCTCAGGAGCACAGCACCAAAGTCCTGGGGACCATTGCCGGGGACACCCCAACCCCAGGCAGGAAGCCGGAGACAGGGGAGGAGGCGGCAGTGACAGAGGATGAGAGACAGACGGAGAAGTTGAACTCATCGCAGAAGGAGGAGAAGTTGATCTAAGGGGAAGAGAGGTGGCAGAAGCCCTGACAGACACTGTGTCCTCTGGGGATGACGCTCCCCCTTGGACTGCTAGGTGTCCCCAGCACCCCCTGCCAGGGAAAGGGGCCCCGGTCTCTGTGTTTGGGGCTGCCTGGTAGGGGTGCCCACTGCCTGCTCCCTTTGAGCACACCCCTGCCCCTCACTCCTCCACCCCACCAGGTCTTCCTTTCCCCCCACCCCTTCCTTTTGGGGGACCGGGAAGTGTCACATCATCACTGCTACCAATGACACTAAGGCTCTGGTCCTTTCAGCCTCATGACTGGCTCTGGGGCTTTCTCCTTCTGCTGCGGCCCCAAAGCCCATTTGCCATCCTGAAGCAAGCTTGTTCCCCGCTGCCATGCCTCTCCTTGGTACACATCTCTGCCCAGTGCTGCCCAGGCCCCTTCCCCTTGCAGCCTGTCCCACTGTGCCCCAGGCAGACATGCCACCTTCTGCTGGCCATCACCTCTGCCTGTGGCCCAGGCTGTAGCAGGACAAGCCCATGGCAGTGCTTGCATGAAATGATGACCATCCATCTAATGTGGTTTGCACCTTCTACCCATCTCTCCCTGCCCAGCACTGAGGTCTGCTGGGAAGGGACTGCAGCTTAAGAGCAGTTATGTTTTGCCTCTCTTTGGCAGGGAGAGGCAGGTTTAGCCCACAGGCACAACACCCTGGTCCCACCTCGTACCCTGAGCTGACCCCAAGCCCATTTCACTGGCTCCCGCAGGGCTGGGCAGTTGGGTCTGACTCTGCCCTAAACACCAAAACCCTACACCCCTGCAAGAGAGGATGAATGGTGAATTTATTTATTGAATACATTATTCCAGGTGAGACAACAACATCCACCTAATGTATTTATTGAATTAAATTTGTCCAGCTCACCCTCTGAGTGTTAAAGGGAATGACAGCCATGCACATCCACCCTGATACACCCTGTAACGTGTACATACATCCCATAGGAGCACATGCAGACCCACACAGCCAAACTTACTCCATGGTACCATCACCTTCCCATCCCAGTAAAGCATTATTCCCCCTCCAAAAGCCGTAGGACAGTGACTTCCAGGTGACCCTTTCTGTCCTGCTTTCAGCTGTGAGCACCCTTTCCCCAGAGCTACTGTTTTTCTTCCATCAAAGGGTTAAGCCCAGTCATCCAACCCCTGTTTGTCTTTGTCCCCTGATTGTTTGACGTGTTAGATGATAGCCCATGGAGTGTAAATAATGTATATACAGTGAGAAAATAATTCAGTATTGAGGTGTTTGAGATATGGAGCTGTAACAACTTCTAGTCATCCAGCATCTGTGATTTATGTGCCATTTTCTGTAAAGATATGAAGAAGAATAAAACTAAACAGGAATACTGTGTACGAGTCCAGTCACCAATGTTCAAGGAGGGCGAGTTCAGCCAAAGCTGAGAAGGAGTTGGATGTCATGCTGTAGCCAGAAAAAGGTGAGAGATCCAAAGCAGCCCAGAGGTCTGCACTTTCCTCCCCATTGAGGCATGGAGGAGATGGGGCTTGGATCTCTCTCTGCAGTGAAATACAAAACCGAAAGCGGTATGCTTGCACTTGGAGCAGAAGTTACAGCGTACAACTGGTGAGAGAAAAATCACTTCAGCATCGAGAGCAGCCCTGGTGCGTTGGGTCATCCCATATCACATGTGCCCTGGTGTTAAGAGAGTTGGACAGGCAGGCTCAGCCTCTGCCACAAACAGGCTGCAGGGATGTTGCTGTTGGGGCAGATGTGACATACAAAAGGAGGCACTACATTTCAGAAGGCTAAAATCCGTTTATTACAACAGCATGCTTTTATACACTCTACAAAGTTTACACTTTAATCATTGGTTACAATAGATCAATATAACATTCATTAGTATAAAATCATCTCCACCTCTGTTTTTCACAAAACTTTTCTAAAAATACTTTTCCCAGCTGCAGGTTTTTTCTTGCTTATCTTCTCCTTCTTCTCTTCTCTGTCTCCATACCAATGGCCTTGGTAAAATTCCTTTCAGAAGTAAACCTTATCCATTAACTCTTTCTGGCCCACAGACCTGGTGTAAGCCCCCTTCCATACAGGGCCATATTGGCCTGAAGAGCTGAGGTAGCAGCCAGATACAGCAAGTGCAGGGAAACTGGTTGAGAGTGAAGGGCACCCACGGGATTCCCAGCAAGGTGAGCTCCAATTCGAGAGCAATGGAAGCCTATTCTGGGTTACCAGGTGTAGTGGATTTAGTGCTGGCCAAATGCCAATGTACCCACTAGAATTATTTATTCATTTCCTGCTGTAAGACATGGATTAGGAGGAGAACAAAACAGGCTTAAAACTTTAAAGAGTATTAAAAAACTTTATTAACAGAATTAAAAATAATAAGAAAATCAGAATAAATGTTCAGAACACTTCTCTGTGTCCCACAACCTCTTTTCTTTCCCACTGACAACATGAAGAGACAAAACCTGTGACTTTCCGTTAGTTTACCACCTCTAAAATAGTCTGTCTTCAGTTCTCTTAGGGAGAGGAGTCTCTCTTGCCATGCCATGGAGACTTCTCCACAAGAAACAGTTCTCTCGTGGCTTTTAATTTCCGTTAATAGCAGCCACCCAGAAATCTGCAATTGTGAAGTCCCTCCCATCTCTTGCAGCCTTCCTACAGCTGCATTCATGGGTCATGTCAACTTATGGGGTACTATTTTAAGGATGAGCTGTTCTAGCATAAAAGCAAAAGTTTCATCCATCTCTGGGAACAGAGGTTTTCTTCTTTCTGTTCCTGGGGCAAGGTTTCTCATCTCTCTCTATTCAAGATTCTCATAGGATCACAGCTACTTCAACATCTGCTTACTTCAACACTGGTGCCTCTGCTCATGGCTGTAGTTAAAACCCTACACACTCCAATGCGTCCCATGAATTATAATCTGATATATCAAACAGCCTTCACTATAGCCTTACAAAAGTATTTCAGCCCAAGATTAAGGCATTTCCTCAATCCCCTCCCATTTGAGATTTGACTCCTTCTTTACTGGGAAGACACCTCAGTGTCCCATGCTGTCGTCTCTATGTGTCTTCACCCTTTCCTTTTCCTGATTTGGAAGAGAATTGATGTTCGTAGGTTCATTTGTTCTCAAGCTTTACCAATTGAAACAGTTTTTATAGAGTTCTGCAGCACTGAAAGGTTGGTCTCATCCAGGAAATGGATCAAGGAAATCACCTGCTGTGCCTCTCACTGCTGGCACCATGTGAGCCGTACTGACCGCCAGCTCCACCCAGCGCTTTTCTTCATGTGGAGCACTGGAAACAAGAAATGCTGCTGCCACCATTTTTGTCTTTCTGTCCACAGCATGGCTGGCTAAAAGCAGCTAAACAAAGTTCATTGTGAGCCATGCTGAGACAGCCACAGCTGCGCACCGCTGTCCCGGTCGCGCTGATTTCAGCCGCACAGTCCTGGCCATGTGACCGCTCCTGGTCCAGGATGGCGGTGATCACTCCTGGCCCCTGCCACTCCTAGCCTTGGGGCCAACCCCAGCACTGACCATGGGGCCGTTCAGCCACGGGGTTGCTCTCGGCATTGGGATGGCTCCAGTGGCATGGCCCAGCAAAAAAGGACTGGCAGGCTCCACTGGAAAGAGGCCTCAGCCACCCCACCAGGATGGGGCCTGGCAGGTTTATCAGGAAGGAGCGAGAGCCACAGCAGAGCCCAACCAGTTACCTGTTCAAAGGCCGGAAGCCAAGAGAGCTTTTCCCGGCCTTTGTTCATTTTTAAATATGCTTTTCCACAGAGGTGTATTCAACTCTTTTAAGTGGTTTAACCGGGTGTCAATCTTCAAAACTAGCCTGTGATTGGCTCTTCAAAACTAGCCTGTGATTGGCTCTTCAAAACTAGCCAGCTGACTGGCTCTTCAAAACTAGCCAGCTGATTGGCTCGGACAGGTCCCTAAGCCTGTGGCCCCTGGACTTCCCCAACTGAAAACCGGACTTCCTTAAACCACGACACCAGGTAAGGAGTTACCTGCCTTGCTAAGAATCTGTAAATGGTCTGGTGGAAAAACACAATGCCTTCCAGGGGCAGGAAAAATACTGGAGCAGAGCAGGTGTGCGTAAGAAATAAGAGACTTGGGGAACAATGAGGCTCCTTGGGCCTAAGTTTGTGTAAGCCCAAAGGACTATGCTTCCCCAGGGGGGCAGTGCCCTTGTAGGTTCCCACCAAGCTCGGGGTGGCTTTGACACAAAACAGGTGTGTGGTCTAGGATGAGTGCACCTGATGGGAACTAGTGCCTGACTCCCACACTGGTGTCCAGCCTGTTCACCAAATATACCAGCTCCATGGATTGGGAGTGGTGTTGCACTTTGAAGAGCAAAGAGGAGATCTACTAACCCTGTCATCTCTACTGTTGATTCCTTAGGTGTGCCTGGCTGGAACAACCCTACTTGCAGGGAGAGCCTTTTTCTGCTCTTCTCTTGTGCCCCCTAGGAAGAGAAGGGAATTTGCTCAATGACATGAAGGAATCCTCCAAATTCTACCTAAAAAAAACCTACCTGTATAGGGCCTGAAGGAAAAGAAGGCAGAAAAAAACCCCTGTTTGGAAGCAGGGAGGCAGCTGAGTTCTGCTACAGTGGGTGGTGGGAGGTCTCAGCGTGAGATGGACTGCAGTGCTTCATGCCAAACCACCTCCAGCTGCTCCACCATGGCCTCATTGAGTGCTCTCGGCCCAGCTGGTGTTACAGCCAGTCTGTAGTGCTTGGGAGGAGGCATAGAGCCCAGCCCAGCCTGCCAGAGGGCACAGCTCTGACAGCCACCCAGCAGTAAGGTTGATTGGGGTGCAATATTCCCCTCCTGCAGCTGACAGCCAAGTGAGAAATTTCCCTGGCCCACCACAGCCTAGGGCATTAATTCTGGGAAGGGGATAGTCCCATCACTCATGACTAGCATGGGGGTGGTCCTAAGATTTATAGGGACCTGCCCCAAGATGACTTTGTGGCCAGCAGAGGGCTGGGGGATGCAGTGGGGGTGATGCAGCAAGGGAGGGGATGG